GAGAGAGAGAGAGAGAGAGAGAGAGAGAGAGAGAGAGAGAGAGAGAGAGAGAGAGAGAGAGAGAGAGAGAGAGAGAGAGAGAGAGAGAGAGAGAGAGAGAGAGAGAAAGAGAGAGAGAGAGAGAGAGAGCGAGAGCGAGAGAGAGAGAGAGAGAGAGAGAGAGAGAGAGAGAGAGAGAGAGAGAGAGAGAGAGAGAGAGAGAGAGAGAGAGAGAGAGAGAGAGAGAGGAGGGAGGGAGGCAGGTGTAGGCACGCAGGGACGACTCTAGCAGATTTCAAAGGAATAGTTTGAGAGTCCAGTACTGTTACAAACAAACAAACAAAAAATGATCTTCAAAGTCCGTCAAAATTGCTTACATGTTTCCTAGTAGACCTACTTATTACAATCCATTTTTACTTTGTTGATAAGCTGTCCTTGATTTTATAAATGATGTTTGAATTCAAAATATCTGTAAATACAAATGCTTATAAATAAACACCACATATTATTATTGCTATTTTCTTTCATTTTATTATTTTTTTATATTTTGTAGTTTTTTCCAAATCAAATATTCCGAAAATTTATTCTGCAGCTCCTTGGTACATCCTGTTTATGACTCCTTTAACAAACTAAAATTAACTTTGTTTCTAAGCTTAATCGAATTTCAAGAGAGACTTCAAGAGATATGAAACAAAAGTTATATATTCGAGAAAAAATGGGAGTCATCAATCAACCAAGAAAAGAAAAATACTTGGGGGTCAGAAAAGGAGAAAAATCACATTATGAATTGAAAGCTGGTGAAAACTTTACCGAGAAATTATCCGAACTCAACTCAACGGCAGTCCTCTGATAAAGGATGGAAAATGCGATATGGAAATCGAAAGACGAATATAGATAAAAAAAAAAAGAAAAAAAAAAAAAAAACAATGAAATTAGAGGAAAAACAATCAATATGCAGCGGATACAAAGAAAAGGATCCTGAATTATAATGTTAAACCAGTCATGTAATAATAAGTAAATAATAATAAGTAAAATAAAAAACAAATTCCTCAGAGCAGAAATATCATCCTACAGAACAGTGATGAAACTAGGAATCGATCTCGCAGCCAATGAGGAGGCCTTAGGAAGAGCCGAGACAGGACTTGTAAGTGGGAAGAAAATTAGAGGTAAATTGATTTATCTCTGAAGCCTGAATGGAAGGAAGGCAGATTAAATTGATAATAACAATATGAATATTCACAGAACTAAGGATAAAAATTCGTGGAGATCCATGGTCGCCAATGTTCTTAAAGAATGATGCACACACACACACACACAGAGAGAGAGAGAGAGAGAGAGAGAGAGAGAGAGAGAGAGAGAGAGAGAGAGAGAGAGAGAGAGAGAGAGAGAGAGAGAGAGAGAGAGAGAGAGAGAGAGAGAGATTAACTTCTAGCTTAACTTAATCTAATCTAGAAAGAAAACAAAATTAATCCTCCCTTTACCCGATTTTGCTTAACAAAACTAACTTAATTACCCTATTCTATTCTATCCTCTCCTATCCCAAAGGAAAGTGAACCCAACCTAACCTCTCCTAACCTGATCTGACCTGTAGTCCTAACCAAACCACAACCTAACGTAAATCTGGAAAGATACAACCGCACAGATTAACTAACTTATACAACCACCATCTAAGAATTCCCAAGCTAAACACGTAATCCACACAAAGTAATTAAGAAAAAAAGTAAACCGAACGTAGATGAAACAAGTATGGCTAGCTCTCCCATATTTTCCCCCATTCTAAACATTAATTAATCCACCGAAGAGCAAATCCGCGTGGTCGACTACCTGTTAATTATGCATTCAAAAAAACAGTTACATAATTGATCGACTGATTCCCTCGTGTATCGATATCCGTGTAATCTTTTGTTTGGTAATAGGATGCGCTGCCGGTGCGGGAATGGGGGTTGTTAAATGATATGTTGGAGCGAGGTTGATAGAGGGAAGTATAATCTTCTTTTACCAGAAGGGGAGTTTGCTGGAGATAAACAGCCTGATGTGTGGGTTTCTGGGTTTACGTGTGTGTGTGTGTGTGTGTGTGTGTGTGGTGTGTGTGTGTGTGTGTGTGTGTGTGTGTGTGTGTGTGTTGTGTGTGTTTGTGTGTGTGTAAGTGTATGTGTGTGTGTGTGTGTGTGTGTGTGTGTGTGTATGTGTGTGTGTAAGTGTATGTGTGTGTGTGTGTGTGTGTGTTTCGTAACTATCTATCAATATACAGTATATGTATATGAGAAATGTATCAGGTCTTATGATATTAATAATTCCTAGCGGATACATCTGCCATACCCCCGAAGAATTCCCCCCCCCCCCCCCCTCGTTTATTAGGAAAACCTTGTGTACCGATTTCCGGTTAGGAGGAATATTAACATGCACGATAAGGTGTCTTGCTGCACTCTGATGTTTATCATGTCATTCCATGTTCAATACCAAGCACGGTGGATGATGGGGGAATGGAGTGTGCTTCCAGATGGTTCTGTCTTTAGTAACGTTATGAGACGGGCGGGAAACCATCGTTTGCTGCCACGTTTCCTGTGTGGGCGAAGGACCTTGCGTGGCGCTTCCTGTGTGGGCGTAGGATCTCGTGTGGCGCTTCCTCTGTGGGCGTAGGATCTCGTGTGAGGAACGCTTGCTGTGGGCGTGGCGCTTCCTGTGGGCGTAGGATCGCTTCTTGTGGCGCCTTCCTCTGTGGGCGTAGTTGCGTGGCGCTTCCTGAGGGCGTAGGATCTTCGTGTGGCGCTTCCTCTGTGGCGTAGGACCTTGCGTGGCGCTTCCTGAGGGCGTAGGATCTTCTGTGGCGCTTCTCTTTGGGCGTAGTCTCGTGTGGCGCTTCCTCTGTGGGCGTAGGACCTTGCGTGGCGCTTCCTGAGGGCGTAGGATCTTCTGTGGAGTGGCGCTTCCTCTGTGGCGAGGACCTTGCGTGGCGCTTTCCTGAGGGCGTAGATCTCTGTGGCGCTTCCTCTGTGGGCGTAGGACCTTGCGTGGCGCTTCCTGAGGGCGTAGGATCTTCTGTGGCGCTTCCTCTGTGGGCGTAGGACTTTGAGTGGCGCTTCCTCTGTGGGCGTAGGATCTTCCTGTGGATCTTCTGCGCTTCTCTGTGGGTAGGATCTCGTGTGGCGCTTCTCTGTGGGCGTAGGACCTTGTGGGCGCTTCCTGAGGGAGTGGATCTTATGTGGCGCTTCCTGAGGGCGTAGGACCGCTTAGGTTGCGTGGCGCTTCCTGAGGGCTTTCTGTGGCGTTCCTCTGTGGCGTAGGATTCGTGTGGCGCTTCCTCTGTGGGCGTAGGACCTTGCGTGGCGCTTCCTGAGGGCGTAGGATCTTCTGTGGCCTTCCTCTGTGGGCGTAGGACCTTGAGTGGCGCTTCCTCTGTGGGCGTAGGACCTTGCGTGGCGCTTCCTGAGGGCGTAGGATCTTATGTGGCGCTTCCTCTGTGGGCGTAGGATCTCGTGTGGCGCTTCCTCTGTGGGCGTAGGACCTTGCGTGGCGCTTCCTGAGGGCGTAGGATCTTATGTGGCGCTTCCTCTGTGGGCGTAGGATCTCGTGTGGCGCTTCCTCTGTGGGCGTAGGACCTTGCGTGGGCTTCTGAGGGCGTAGGATCTTCTGTGGCGCTTCTCTGTGGGCGTAGGATGGGTGGCGCTTCCTCTGTGGGCGTAGGACCTTGCGTGGCGCTTCCTGTGGGCGTAGGACCTTGCGTGGCGCTTCCTCTGTGGGCGTAGGACCGTGCGCTTCCTGTGTGGGCGTAGGACTTCTGTGGCGCTTCCTCTGTGGCGTAGGACCTTGAGTGGCGCTTCCTCTGTGGGCGTAGGATCTTCTGTGGCGCTTCTGTGTGGCGAAGGACCTTGCATGGCGCTTCCTGTGTGGGCGAAGGACCTTGCATGGCGCTTCCTGTGGGCGTAGGACCTTGAGTGACGCTTCCTGTTGGCGTAGGACCTTGCGTGGCGCGTGGCGCTTCCTCTGTGGCGTAGGACCTTGCGTGGCGCTTCCTGTGTGGCGAAGGACTTGCATGGCGCTTCCTGTTGGCCTTGCGTGGCGCTTCCTGTGGGCGTAGGACTTGCGTGGGCGTCGTGGACCTGCGTGGCGCTTCTGTGGGTAGGACTTGCGTGGCGCTTGTGGGCGTAAGATCTTGCGTGGCGCTTCCTGTGGGCGAAGGACCTTGCGTGGCGCTTCTGTGTGGGCGTAGGATCATGGTGGCGCTTGTGTGGCGAAGGACTTGCGTGGCGCTTCCTGTGCCTTGTGGCGCTTCCTGTGTTGGCGTAGGACCTTGCGTGCGCTTCCTGTGGGCGAAGGACCTTGAGTGGCGCTTCCTGTGGGCGAAGGACCTTGCGTGGCGCTTCCTGTGGCGAAGGACCTTGCGTGGCGCTTCCTGTGGGCGAAGGACCTTGCGTGGCGCTTCTGTGGGCGTAGGACTTGCGTGGGGCGTGGGCGTAGGACTTCGTGTGGCGCTTCCTGTGGGCGAAGGACCTTGCGTGGCGCTTCCTGTGGGCGTAGGACCTGCGTGGCGCTTCCTTGTGGGCGTTGCGTGGCGCTCTCTGTGGGCGTAGTTCTTGTGTGGCTCCTCTGTGGGCGTAGGACCTTGTGTGACGCTTCCTGTGTGGCGTAGGACCCGTGGCGCTTCGTGTGAGCGTAGAGCCTCCTCTGCTGTTATGCCCTCCCTACCTGCACCCTCCCCCTCCCACGCGAGGAGTGCCCGCCTCTCAACCCTTTGATGCTCCCCCAGTGTCCTCCTTGCGATTCCACTTAACTTGCAGTTCTATAAATATCGAAGCTTATGCGGACGTTCTCCATTATCCTGTAAGCTCCTATTTCAGCTCATCATAGTTCTGAGATCCTTATTTTACCGATTCTCACTCGATGGTAGTCTGGTCCTATAATCCAAGGTCTATATGGGTAGTTATATAGACCTTGCTATAGTCTTGATACATACGCTAACGGGCGGTTTGTTGAAATTGCGAGAGGCCCGACGAATGGAAGAGAGAGAGAGAGGAGAGAGA